AACCATTCACACACAATCCTAATGGGGGTGAAGTGTCTTGCCTAAGGACACTTCAACAGTTTGACACTTTACAGCCACCCCACTGTGGCACCTGGTGTTCCCAGGGGTCTCCCATCACAGGACTAACCAGGCCTTTTTTTACATCCTGAAGAAGGCCAAGCTAGGCCGAAATGTGTTGGTGCGTATTTTAAATGAAAGCCATGAGAAAATTAAGGCTTTTTGACTGGAAGGTAAGTGGGTGAGGGGATAGCACTCTCGCTTCTCAGCAAGAAGGCCCTGGGTTTGAACCATGGTTGGAACTTTTCTGGGCCTTTCTGAGTGGAGTTTGCATGTTCTCCCCATGTCTGCTCCGGTTTCCTCCGGTTTTCCTTCCTCACCACTAAAAACATAGGTATGAATGTAATGAGTGGGTGAATGGATGGTGTTTGGTCGGAGGCTTTGATGTGCCAGTGTGTTCGGCGACTCGCTTCCATCATCGCCGTGTGGCGAGAATGAAAAAACTAACTGAACTCTGAACTATAGTAAAGCGCTTTGGGGGATTTTGGGCTGTAAAATGCGCTATATAAATAAACATTACTTACTTACTTACTAACTCTCTAAACTATTGACGACGAGTGTGTTGGATTATTTTGACTTTCTAGGCTCTTCATTATTTGCCTTTACCTGGAAAGTCAACACTCCACTTTTTGTTACTAACCAGGCCTTACCCTGCTTAGCTTCAGAGGTCTGACGGGATCTGGCTTTCAACATGCAGGCCACAAATATGGCCATAATAGGAGCCATTTGGAAATCAGAAATTGCAGTATCTTCCCAATATATGCTAATTTGCCGTGTTAAGCAAATGTATTACAAACATTTGGACCATAAACTCGACATTGCACCAAAACATTACGACAAAACGGTGACAGGAAACAGACAGGTCATATTTACAGACTGTGCAAATGGAGGTCAATGGGACAAAAGTAGAGTTCAGGCATAAAGCATTCCATGGTTGTGTTAGTGTGTCCAACGATGGCATTTTCTCAAACGCATTGGCTCCAAACGTGATGGTGTCTCACTGAGATAAGGGACGCAGCAATTACATAGAAAAGATTGTGTGAAGATAGCGCCGTTTTGGCTTTGATTCCAACACACCGTTGCCAGTTTTTGATTATAATTGTACCAATCCAGCTATTTGATTTGTTTTTCTGAAAATGGGTGTTTTTGGATTAAATCATTCTCTTCACTGGAAGGTAAGATAAACAACTGGAATGGATTGGAAAAATGATGGAGAAGTTTGGTCGATAGGGTTAGAGTTTGTGTTGATACAATATTACACTACACAAAAAGTGATGAAAAATATGTCAAAATTGTATTTAAAAAATGATCTTGTTTTAAAACGATACAAGGAATATCTCATTTGGAAAGAGAAAATGAAGCAACAATTATTGAAATAAGGCTAAATGGCTTTGACCCATTGGCAAATCTGGTTTTAAGCTCAAATTAAGATGCATTTGGCGAACTTTGAACAATTTTTGACGTATTTGTCATCACTTTTTTAGTTGGTCTACCACACAGTAAAGTAGCTTGTGACACAATCCATAACAACATGCTACATACATTACATCATTCATGTTACAGTCAATTTGATTCCAGCAATTATCACCTCATATTTTATCATTTTTTGCAGTGTAAATGAACCGGGTGTTTTAAATTCTCCCAGCAATGAACTCAGCAACCCTCAAGATAAAAATAATGCATGCATATTTGTTTTTTGCACGTCACAGGAACCTTTGAAACCTGACAGTGAAGCAGGGGAGCGGTCAGAACGTGACACATTCCTAAAGGCATGTGCACAAAAACACAGCCCTGGACGTGAATCACAAACACAGGCGCTAAATCCTCTGGTAAAGAAACATAATTGCTCCAAATCTACCTGGATCTCCAGCGGCTCCCGGCAATTAACACAAGAGAGAGAAGTTATCGCCCGGATTATATCTGTGTAATTATTAATACAGAGCTGTGGGTTCTCTGCCGTCGCGATGAAGAGGTGAAAAGATTTGAAACTTTTTAACCGCAGAAAGTTCATGTTAAGGTGAATGTGTAAAACCTCAACTTTCTTAACACTAGAATGACCAGCACTGAAAAAAAGATAAAATATGAGGTAATAATTTCTTGAATCGAGTGGTTTCTATCTTAATCTGAGAACATTCTGACTCTCTTAAAAGAATATTTTGGGAAAACGTCCCAAAACCCTAAAAGTAGTCAAGTTATCATGTGTTTTCAAATAGTAATGGAATTGACCAGATGCCTATAGTCTCCAAAAATTAATAACAAATATTTTGGAGCAGACCAAAAAAAATAAACCAATGGGATTCGTTCATTCCCAAAGAACCAATGGGATGCGTTTACCCCCTTCACCCTCTTCGTGTTTCTCGCAAGTGAACCTGAGTTATCGGATTATTTTCTAAAACCTAAAAGGGCTGAACAGAAAATGCCAATTTCACGTTTGCCACCCGCTCTCCCTGTTTTGACAAAGACAAGAAAATGCTGGATGTTTGGTTTGGTGGAGAGGCGAGGGGAGGGGGGAGGGGTTTGAGTTGGTGCTACGGCTAAGCTAACAACATCGCTGACTGCATCATTAAAGAAGATTTCCCAATGCGACAAAGCCATGTAGTCTTATTTCAAGAACTTGCTTTATTTTTTTTCTTCATTCCAAAGGAGACATTTCATGTATCTTTTTAAAACAAGATCATTTTGTTTGTCCCAATGGCAAAACTTTTTATAAATAGGTCAGCGGGTGCTCAAAGTAAGATACGTTTTGCCAAATTTGAGCATTTTTTGACTTATTTTTTATCACTTTTTGCAGTGAAACCGACTCACTCCCACACTTCAAATCCATCCTCAAAACTCATCTGTTTAGACAAGCCTACTCACTGTGACCACAACTGTATGTTTTATTCATGCTGTTTTAACATTGTATTTTAACTGTTTTTAATTGTTGATGTTAATTTACTTGTTGTTGTGAGGCGACCTTGAGTGTCTTGAAAGGCGCCTAAGAAATAAAATGCATTATTATTATTATTATTATTATTAATCTATGTGTAGTTTTTGTCTATGCCATTAATTATGTATGAAATGATCTTTTACTTGTTTCTACCTTTGATTCATTTTACATCAGAAAATAACAAGTACTAGTTACCATAGCAACACTGTTTACTGTTAGCAGTTGTCTTGCAGTATTTCAGTAGCAGTCATAATGACCGGTCTAAGTACTGTCTATGTCTGTCAAAAACATATTTGTTCGAATAAGGAATTCTTAAAGAAGCTTATGCTAAACTATAGAATTATTCCAAACTAAAAATATTATCATTAAAAAGGGATATATTGGTTATAGCAAGAGTTTATTTATCAACTGTCCAGAGGCATTTTTTACAAAAGCCACCAAACAAATGCCTTTCTTCATGACTTCTTGTTTATGACCATCCAGATGTGGGTGTGTGTGTTTCTTTTACACTGAAAGCTGAAGATGTATTCTGAAAATGGTCACAGTAAAGCATATTTTACCTTAAATCATTATCATAATTAGCCAAATCTGAATAAAAGTAATGTTGAAATAGAGTACATATGTTTTAGCACCTTTTTACGATTGCATTCCTAATACTACTGGACTGCAAGGTGGAAGGAAGGTCCTGGGTTCCACATCCAGACAGGTGGAGTTTGCATGTTCTCCCTGTGTATGTTTCCTCCGGGTGCTACGGTTCCCCATACCTCTAAAAACATGTAAAACCGGTGAGGGTTGAATGAGTGTGTTTGTGAGTGCGACTTGAGAGTGTGACTACAGATGGAAAATATTTTTAAAAATAGATACAATATTATGTATTTACAGTCGCTACAAATCCCAAAACCTCCTCATGCTTCTGCCGGGTCTAATGGTCTAAATTATTCAGCTAAAATGTATTCCAAAAAATGTTATATAATTCTAATCTTTCCCTTGAATTGAGCTTTTTCGATTTTTACTTTGCAAACTGTGGGGGCTGGTGCTCAGTGAATCGGGTGCAGATCTGACTCCCACCCCCCTGGACCCAGAAATGGATTATGGGGAAGAAAATGGATGGATGGAGACAGCTAAAACAATACAGTTTTTTCACTACAGAATTTTACATTTTCCCGTGTGGAAACAATGTCATGGGTAGAATGTATGAGTAAAGGTATTTTTAGTGTGCGAGAGGCCACTGTGTGCAAACTCTTCATATTTCAAACTTTTACGATTGCTTTGTGTGTCTGAGTTCTGCATATATAAGCGTGGATAGAAAATCTTCAATTCTAAGAAAGAAGCAAGAATTAATGTGTAAGTTACCGATCTTATCTTGCTTCTTTATTATGCTAAAGTTAGAGATTTTATTATAGTATAGAGTTATTGTTCACTCATCTTGTGCAGTGTGCTCCACATTTCTACCGCTCTGTAATCTGTGATGCAACACTGAAATTTCCCTACTGTGGGACAAATAAAGGATCTCTTGATCTTAATCTATATTATACGCGTATTAAAAATCAAAAATCCTCTCCACAAGTTCAGGGGTAGAAGCGATTTTAAGCAAATTGCCAAAAGACAAAAGAATATTGAGCATTTGCATCAACAAAATCTACGTTGCCCATATAGGGAATATAAGACTAAATAATGTTGATACAAATATTCCATTGAAAGATTTGAGTGAGACGTGTTACTGAAGGACAGAACACCCGCTGCTAATGTGCCATGGGAGGCTGCACTGTAATTTGAAGTTGGGAAATAGAATAAAACACCTACAGAACATTGCATTCTCATTCGAGAGCTGTGCACCAATTTAAATACATGCGCACGTGTATTACTGCCCTCTCCACGGACACTGCTAAAACAATACACGACTGGCTTCCATTTATGCATATCTTTTGGTACCTGCTGCTTCGAGTGAAAAATGCAAATGTGAAAATCCTCTGGCGGCCGAAATGCAATTATGGTCCGTAGCCTCGAAGCAAGGTTAGCCGCGGAGAACCAGGTAGTGTCCTGGACTGCTTCCCTGCTGCCGCCCCCAGAGGAGAGCCTGTCTGGGGCTGTGCAGTGGACCAGTGACCCTCTGGCTAATGCAGAACACTGCAGATGATGATAAATGACCTGATGACCATGAGCAAAACTGCTGCTATTATAAAACAGCTTTTTAGAAATGGACGGGGAGGAACCAGAACAGGAGAGGAGAGGAGGGCTCTCATAACAGCTAATGAGTGAATGAAAGCACAGGGACTGTCCTCCTGCTGGGACTACGAGGAGCACAGGGACTGTCCTCCTGCTGGGACTACGAGGAGCACAGGGACTGTCCTCCTGCTGGGACTACGAGGAGCACAGGGACTGTCCTCCTGCTGGGACTACGAGGAGCACAGGGACTGTCCTCCTGCTGGGACTACGAGGAGCACAAGGACTGGCCTCCTGCTGGGACTCCGAGGAGCACAGGGACTGGCCTCCTGCTGGGACTCCGAGGAGCACAGGGACTGTCCTCCTGCTGGGACTACGAGGAGCACAGGGACTGTCCTCCTGCTGGGACTACGAGGAGCACAGGGACTGTCCTCCTGCTGGGACTCCGAGGAGCACAGGGACTGGCCTCCTGCTGGTGCCCAGAGTCGCAACTAAACATGGAGTTTCAGATTTATGCAGCTAAAATCTGGAACAGTTCCACAAATTCAAATTTAAATCGGACTGACCAATAAACAATATTATTTTCACTTGAACCTGACTTTGTGTTTGTAAACATGCAAGTATAAGGAAATCATTAGCAAACCAATAACAAATATCCCATTCTGATTCTTTAGTGTCCTATGGTGCTTTCAACACATTATATAGAAAAGCAGCTTTGAACACTACATCTAAACAGGCAGAGTGTGTGGACGGAGAGAGCCGCGGCCTCTGTGGTGCATTTATCTTGTTTATGGCAGTGTTCTGAGAGTGCTTTCAGCGCAGCACCCAGAGGAGAATCAGTGACATCAGCGCTGCGTCGTCATTCACACGACTCCCACTGCTATGGAAACTGGGAGGGAGAGAGAACCGGGACTGGGGGAGAGAGAACCGGGACTGGGGGAGAGAGAACCGAGGCTGGGGGAGAGAGAACCGAGGCTGAGGGAGAGAGAACTGAGGCCGAGGGAGAGAGAACTGAGGCCGAGGGAGAGAGAACTGGGGCTGTGGGAGAGAGAACTGGGGCTGTGGGAGAGAGAACTGGGGCTGTGGGAGAGAGAACCGGGGCTGTGGGAGAGAGAACCGAGGCTGGGGGAGAGAGAACCGAGGCTGAGGGAGAGAGAACCGAGGCTGAGGGAGAGAGAACTGAGGCCGAGGGAGAGAGAACTGGGGCTGAGGGAGAGAGAACCGGGGCTGTGGGAGAGAGAACCGGGGCTGTGGGAGAGAGAACCGGGGCTGTGGGAGAGAGAACCGAGGCTGGGGGAGAGAGAACCAGGGATTCTATGGATGAAGTTTGTTCTGAAAACTATCTTTCCACAAATGTACTTTGAGTAGGGCTGACGCATAAACAAATCTGACTTTGATTAGAGTTGATAAAAGACAATCAAATGCACTTGAACCGACCTAAAATCCACAAAATTGGTAATCTTATTTTGAGCAGAAATCAGCCATTTCATCCAAAATATCCAATAGAAAACCCACTTTTAGGAATACAATAGTTTTTTTGGACAGAAATTTTGTGAGCAACCAGGGGCCGGACAGGGTTCAGTTTGGAGACCACAGGATTTCATCTCTCCTGTTTTCAGACGATGTTGTCCTGTTGGCTCTAAAGAACCAGGACCTGCAGCATGCACTGGGGCGGTTTGCAGCCGAGTGTGAAGCGGCTGGGATGAGAATCAGCACCTCCAAATCTGAGGCCATGGTGCTCGACCGGAAAAAGGTGCCTTGCCCTCTCCGGGTGGGTGGAGAGGCCCTTCCTCAAGTGGAGGAGTTCAAGTATCTCAGGGTTTCGTTCACGAGTGAGGGAAGGATGGAGCGTGAGATTAAGAGAGCAAGAGGGAAGACATTTCTCCACTATGGGACAAATAAAATAAATATTTACTCAAGTTCGGAAAAACATGACACTAGGGACTGAAATAGCATGACAACAAAATGCTCTCTTCTTTGAAATCCTGCTGACACAAAGTACATGCGCCGGAAGTATATTGGGCCAAAGACAGAGCAGACATGTATTTGATTTCCTTCCTGAAGCGTAGGAAGTACAGGAGGATTTTTGTTGAATCTGATCTGGGTTTGAATGTGATGCATACGTCTGTGGGAGACTATCTGGTCTGCCAGATTCAGCAATTATACAGGACCAAACCAGATCAGTGCTATGGAAACAGAGGGGAGGGAGAGAAAGAGAGAGAGGGAGACCAGAGAGAGACAGAGAAAGAGAGAGAGGCAGACATGGGGAGAAAGAGACAAAGAGTGTGAGAGACAGAGTGAGAGAGAAAGGGACCCAGAGAGAGAAAGTATGAAAGGAAGAGTGTGAGAGAGAGAAAGACAGATAGAGAGAGACAGAGACACAAGGAGAGAGAGAGAGTTTGTCCTCTCACTCCACACAGAGATGGGAGTGGGGTCACCATACAGGGGGCACAAGCCAAACCTGTTGTACATTTTTTTAGTGGTAGGGGAAACCGGAGCACCCGGAGGATACCTATGCAGACTCAGAGAAAATCCAGACAGAAAGGCCTGAAGGTGGAATTGAACTCAGAACCTTCTTAGCACAAGCGTTGCTACCACCGTGCTGCCTTTTTATACACGATAAGGTTTGGCTAACCATATTTTTGGCACATATGGTTAGCCAAAAATGTACTCAAGCATGGAAGTGTTAATGCAAGAATGGTTTTATCTTTCTACATCTACAGTACAGTATGGAATAATATGTACAGATACATAATATCAAAAGCACAAACACACACCGTTAGTTAGTTTTCTGTATATTATCAGAATCAGAATCATTTTTATTGCCATTAGATAAGGGAAACTTTATTTGTCCCACAGTGGGGAAATTTCATTGTTGCAGCGCGCACACAGGTCAGTAAATATACAACATAAGTCGCTGATATGCTGTTCTTAGCTAGCTGCAAACGCTACACGACATTGAGGCCTGTTTTTAAATCTGGGAGTTCCATTTAACGTCTTGTCAGTAACAGTATCCCACGGCAACCCAAACCCCGCCCCTCAGTGACCCTCTCTCTCTGGCAGCGAAAGTGGAAAGAAGCTGTAACAGGAGCCGCGTGGCCTCAGAGGAGTGCACTCCGGAGTTCAGGAGGTTAATTATTCAGCATGACGGCGATTTGTGAATGGACACACCACAGAGAGGACAGCGTGGGTCGTGTCAAAAATGACCCGACAACTTCACCACATTCACCAACAGAACGAGGAGGCAAAAATCACAGAGAAAACCACTTGTTTTATGGGTTTGAGGTGAAGGGCTGAGATCAGGGGTGTTCAAACCAGCTCGCCACAAATACGCCGTAGTGGCATTGGAGGATGGTTCAAATGCAGAGAACACATTACCCATCTAATAAAGTATACAATTCCCATAAAATAATGAGTAACTTAACTTTAACTTTAAAGTCATTTTGTCACAAATAAATGGGTTTTTTTTGTCGTAACATGGAGTCTTCTTATTGGAAAACAAGCATACGTTCCTTTTCAATGGAAAGTAACAGGAAGTCACAAACTCAAAATTTACTTTGGCTCAAGGTGCAAACAAGAGCTCTGTGAGTCACTATTTGACACTTTGGGAGCTGAGAGCTAATCCTCGGTCCTCTCTAAAAACCAGATCTAAACATGTGTCAGATTGTGAATCAAATAAAAGGATCTCTTAATTCACCCCCATCTGTTTTGACCATAAACCAGTGTCCTGTAGCTACTAAAACTTGATAGATTCAAAATAATTCTGTCAATATGTCAATAAACTCTGCTTTGACAACTCTACCACACTAAAAATACACACATTAGCCGTAACGCTGTATAAGCTGCAGAAATCACGGTAGATCCCCTCAGCTTCAACTCTTGCCAGCTCTTACGGTTGTGGTTGTGTTGGCTCCTCTCCGTGCTGTTTTAAATCAGTCACAACATGATTTAAGAACAAGCTAGCTTCCATGACTCGTTTACAATGAGCTTCCATGACTCATTCACTGCTAGCTTCCTTAACTGATTCACTGTTAGTTTCCATGACTCATTCAACAGTAGCTTCCATGACTCATTCAACAGTAGCTTCCATGACTCATTCAACAGTAGCTTCCATGACTCATTCATTGCTAGCTTCCATGACTCATTCATTGCTAGCTTCCATGACTCATTCAACAGTAGCTTCCATGACTCATTCAACAGTAGCTTCCATGACTCATTCAACAGTAGCTTCCATGACTCATTCATTGCTAGCTTCCATGACTCATTCATTGCTAGCTTCCATGACTCATTCAACGTTAGCTTCCATGACTCATTCATTGCTAGCTTCCATGACTCATTCATTGCTAGCTTCCATGACTCATTCAACAGTAGCTTCCATGACTCATTCAACAGTAGCTTCCATGACTCATTCAACAGTAGCTTCCATGACTCATTCAACAGTAGCTTCCATGACTCATTCAACAGTAGCTTCCATGACTCATTCATTGCTAGCTTCCATGACTCATTCATTGCTAGCTTCCATGACTCATTCAACAGTAGCTTCCATGACTCATTCAACAGTAGCTTCCATGACTCATTCAACAGTAGCTTCCATGACTCATTCATTGCTAGCTTCCATGACTCATTCATTGCTAGCTTCCATGACTCATTCAACAGTAGCTTCCATGACTCATTCAACAGTAGCTTCCATGACTCATTCAACAGTAGCTTCCATGACTCATTCAACAGTAGCTTCCATGACTCATTCAACAGTAGCTTCCATGACTCATTCAACAGTAGCTTCCATGACTCATTCAACAGTAGCTTCCATGACTCATTCAACAGTAGCTTCCATGACTCATTCAACAGTAGCTTCCATGACTCATTCAACAGTAGCTTCCATGACTCATTCAACAGTAGCTTCCATGACTCATTCATTGCTAGCTTCCATGACTCATTCATTGCTAGCTTCCATGACTCATTCAACAGTAGCTTCCATGACTCATTCATTCTAGCTTCCATGACTCATTCATTGCTAGCTTCCATGACTCATTCATTGCTAGCTTCCATGACTCATTCATTGCTAGCTTCCATGACTCATTCAACGTTAGCTTCCATGACTCATTCAACAGTAGCTTCCATGACTCATTCAACAGTAGCTTCCATGACTCATTCATTGCTAGCTTCCATGACTCATTCATTGCTAGCTTCCATGACTCATTCATTGCTAGCTTCCATGACTCATTCAACGTTAGCTTCCATGACTCATTCATAGCTTCCATGACTCATTCATTGCTAGCTTCCATGACTCATTCAACGTTAGCTTCCATGACTCATTCAACGTTAGCTTCCATGACTCATTCAACAGTAGCTTCCATGACTCATTCATTGCTAGCTTCCATGACTCATTCATTGCTAGCTTCCATGACTCATTCAACGTTAGCTTCCATGACTCATTCAACAGTAGCTTCCATGACTCATTCATTGCTAGCTTCCACGACTCATTCATTGCTAGCTTCCATGACTCATTCACCTTCATCTATTTTGACAATAAAAAAAATAAAGTGTCCTATAGCTAAAAACAACTTGGAGTCAAATCAATAGGTCCATAAACTTTGCTGTAACAACTCCACCACAAAAAAAAAAATGTAGATAAGATAAAAGAAGATAAAAACTTGACTGATCACCATGTCTGTCATGGTGTGGACTCAGTGACTTTTATTTGAATGTTATGGTCCTTTTCAGTGTTACTTCATGTCTGTTCAGGTGATTGCCTGTCCCTGTGTGTACGTACCTGTGAGAGTATTTAAACTCTTTGCTCCTCTCCCCTTGCTGTTGGTCCATTGTGCGTTTCTGTCCCTGTTTTTTAATGGTTTGAGTTTGGGGTTCTGTTATAACCTGGATTGTTTTTACTTTTGAGTTTTGTGAATCCCCCCGGATGAGCTGGAGGAAGTGTGTGTGGATAGGGAAGTCTGGGCGTCTCTGCTTAGACTGCTGCCCCTGCGACCCGGCAACAGATAAAGCGGAAGAAAACGGATGTATGGATGGATGGAGTTGTGTGAATTAAATCTAATAATTTTGTCAATCCTGTATTTTGGGACCTCCTTTCACCACGTAACAAGTACCCTTCTAACTTCTTCTAAGAACCTTCCAAGCCTTAAACAATTCACAGCAGAAAAACGTCCAATAGATACCCCAGCTTCAACTCAGTCCAGCTCTTACCGTTGTGGTTGTGTTGGCTCCCCTCTGTGCTGTTCCCGGTGCTGCTCCCGCTCCCACTCCCTCCGCTGGAGTCGTTGGCCCCCAGCTCGGCCAGTCTCCGGCTCGTGGCGCTGAGCTCGGAGCGCAGGTTGGTCACCTCTTGGCTCGCCGACTGGATGGCCCCGTCTATCCTCTGGGCCAGCTGCTTGTTGTCATCCATCATTTTGACGATTTTGGCCTGGGGCGCACAAAGAGAAGCAAAGTATCCATGCGAGACGTCATGACAAGTTGGACGGCATCTCTCTCAAGCAATTGGAAATAGTAAAATCCAGAAAGAATTAAGGCAAGACTAATAATCCGAGAAAAGATACATCCGTGATTGCTGCAGGAGAGGAAACAGAGGAGAAAGTGCAGGGTTTTATGGAGTTTGCAGACTGCATGTGGTGTCTATGTGTAAGTGTGAGTGAGAGTGTGTGTGTGTCTTTCGCGGAGCCGGTATTAGAGGCTCTGGTGTAGTGTGTTTGCGAGCAGCTGGCTGGGAGAGGACACAGCGTTGAGATGATGACAGCCGCCTTTTTAAATGGACTGTACCATCACGCAGGCAGCAGGGGGGAATAGTGGGAGAGGTAAGAGAAAGGGGAGAGAGGGTCAGACTAAACATGGAAGCACGTGGAGCGGAGGTGCGGCTGTGTATGCAGATGAGATGAAGGGACCGCGGTTCTTTGTGTTGAGGGACGGAATGTGGCGGTGAGAGAGAGATACTGCGGTCATGGTAACGGTTGGAGGGTTAGTGCGGCCATTAGCATCTCATTCAATCTACAAGTATTCTCATAAAGCAGCAATATTCTGTGTTTTTGTGTTGAGTTTGCCCGTAAAACATGATCTTACCAATATGTACTATAGCATTTCATTTCTTAAAAGAAATGGGTAAAGATAGGATCAAGAAAAGATACTTCAAACACAAGGCAACTCAATGTGCAAAACAAAATGAGAGAGATCACCAATTTCTACACCAATTTCCAGATACTGGCATCCTCCCATAGACAGTATAGGGATAGACAATGCTAATCCACTAGCTCTGTGAAGCCCAATGGGGAAGAGCTCCTGGATGAAGTCACACTCACATAAGCAATCTAAGGTTTGTGGCTCTCTATGATCTTGGTGTTTGTTTTTTATATGGATAAATCCTGATCGCCATAAAGATGGACCAATCAGATTCCATCATTTGCGTGTGAAACTTGAGCTTGCCTTAGCAACCATGCGCAGAGAGGCAGATGACCAATGTCCATAAATGTTGTTGGAGGAACAACTCTAAAACCCAGTGGGAGAAAAGTGACAAACCTCGGGAAGGCCGACATTGAGGGGGGATTCGCTGCCAGGGACAGACGGGCTGTAGATCCAGGATCTTTCAACTAAATCTTTCCGTTTTCATAATTGTGCAAAACTTTAGGCCCATTTTTCAGATTTGAACAAACTTTCTCTGAACCAATAAATCCACAAGATGCATTTGGTTCTTATTCCTTGAGCTTGTTCCATCTCAGTCAGTTTGTGATTGTGGGCGAGAGGCTCCGACTGTCACCGGTTACTGATAACAAACCTAATCCTCACTGCATCTAAAGTCAATACTTCCTTCCACGGCAGCAGGGAGGACTGCAAGCTTCCATTTTTGAGATTAAGATTAAGATTTTAGAGATTCTTTCTTTATTCCTACCACAGTGGGGATATTTCAGTGTTGCATCACAGGTTACAGAACAGTGCTAAATAAGGTAAGTGGATATTAACACTTTAAGACAAGACACGTTTATTTGTATAGCACAGTTCATATACAAGGCAACAGAAAGAGCTGAACAAAACAAGTACTTGTTAATCACAGTAGATGAATATAATCCTTTAGTTGTATGCAGCTAAACAGAACTGTTTTTAACCTGGATTTGAACATTGTCAGAAGAGAAGACTGTTGCAGACTTTCAGGAAGACTGTTATTATTTTGTTTGTATAAATCTGAAATGCTGCCCATGTTTAGTCCTGACTCTGGGCACCAGCAGGAGGCCAGTCCCTCTGCTCCTCAGAGTCGCAGCAGAAGGCCAGTCCCTGTAGTCCTCAGAGTTAAGTTTGAGCTTAGGCGCCAAAGTATCGGCTGCTCACACCACCAACCATCCACACACATAGGTGAAGTGTCTTGCCCAAGGACACAGCTACAGTTTGGCAATTTACAGCCGCCCCACCTGGTGTTTCTAGAGGTTTCTCATCACATTTCTAACCAGGCCCTGCCCTGCTTAGCTTCGTAGGTCTGACATGATCTGGATTTCACATGCAGATATGGCCACATTCACACCTCTGAGACAATGAGTACTGCCACCCAATCATAACAAACTCGAGATAAGAGCAGTTGCTATGGAGATTGTAAACTCTCTCACAAAAGAAGAAAGATATAGAGGGTATTTTTATGTTTATGATGGATGTTGAATTCACAGATCATTATGTTGTTTCTGCAGATTCTCATGTATTGGATTGTCATAGTGCTGTGTTTCCATTTCAATATTTTCTTTGGCGTTGGCAATCTGCAGCAGCGACACACAGCAGCCAAGACAGGAAGCCAACGCTGCTGTTGCCAAATTCAATTAATCGCATGATTTAGTTGGTAATTCAGTAAATACTCAATATTTTCAGTAACAATGTGTGTTTGAATTTGAACACATCAGAGAGGAATAAAATACTACGATGTCATTCAAACAGCAATCAATATAACAACATTACAGTCATTTAAACAGACATAAAAGAGCCGGAAACAAAAGCAGTTTTATTGTCATACCAAGGAATGTCCCCAGATATTGGTTTGTTGTGGGTGGGTAACTAGAATACGGGATCAGATACTAAAACATAACGGAAACACAACTAGATAGAGTAGAGTAGAGCCAAGTTGAGTAGAGTAGATCAGAGCCAAGTAGGGCTGGTGGAAACAGGGCTATTATACTGTTGTTAAAGGTTAAGGTAGAATTGATTGTCCTCTGCGTTTGACCCATGCTTCTATTACACTAGGGCCTTTGTTAGCAGCAGTAATTGCTCCTGGATCATCTCCACATGTTAATATTCTCCTTCAGGAGCTGGAGCTGGAGGATTTAACCCAGTCTCTCATTCTCGCAGCCATGTCCTCCCCTTCCTTTGTTCCGAGTCCAAGGCACAAGTCATTCTAAGGTGGAAATGATGCTTGGTTTTCTTGCGGTATATAATTTACTGCATAATTCTTGACACAAAGACCTGAGACAAAGTAAGGTATGACAAAATATTGATATGGTAAATCATACTTTTGGATGAGGTTTTGTCGCTTACACCACAGAGGAAACTTAGTATGGCATTCGCAGGAGGCAATTCAATACATAGAATGCTGCTAACATGTACAGATGTAGACATACAACTATGTATTTCGTGCAATAGAAGATACAGTATTTTAAACTAGCTTCTTTATTATGCTACTGTCAGAAATGTCAAACTTAATTCTTGCTTTTTCATGATAAAACCAGAGATTGCATACCTGCTTCTTTTTTATGTTAAAGTTAGAGTTCTAGTATATAATTATTGTTCATTTATCTTGTTCTGTGTGCTCCTCATTCCTACTGCTCTGCAACTTGGTGATGCAACACTGAACTTTCCGCACTGTGGGACGAATACAGGATCTCTTCATTTTAATCCCCCACTTCCCCTCCTCCCGGGTCTAAACTCTGGTGGTGATGGAGGCTGATTTGAAGTTGAGGTGGTGACAGGGAGGAGGAGGGTTTTTGCACGAGCTGAACGCGTCAGGGCCGGAATTCAAGGCCCTGTTCAAATGCAGCAGGTGAAGCAGATGCAGATTAGTAGAGGCAATACTGGTTTAGTTCAGTCGATTCACCTTTTCCACACATAAAACCTTTCATAAATATACCCTTTAATGAATGTCTCTCTGTTGGACCACAGTCCTGTATCTGTAACTGTATCTGCGTCCTGCTGTTTGTTGCTGAGCTCTCGTCTGTCAGTCCGACACCTCCCACCCTGTCAGCGTGTATTTATAGCTGCCCCTGACAATCTCCGTGCATTCACAAATGGAAAGCCAAAAGTCACAGATTGGGGTCAACAATGTTGGGAGAAATAACCAATAGTCGTTTTAGAGGCGACCATGGTTAAAAAAAATATCATCAAAAACAGACTAGACTTTTTTTTTTGTCTCAGTGTCCTAACGAACAGAACATTTCATTCTTTAACCCTTTCATTGTTTCCTTTGAGTCACATCATGCCTACTTGGAACTGAAATCTACCTCTTTGCTGCATACCTTGGTTTTATGCACTTTTACCATCAAACTGCATCTCAACCCGAATGGTTGGTTCGAAGGTGACTATAAATAAAAAGACTACAAGTTAAAAACATAAAAATATGATTTGTGTTGGACGGACAAGCTTGTAACCATTCATGATAAGATAAGATAAGATATGCTTTATTTATCTCACAAAGGAGAAATTTACATGTCACATTTGGCATGGATAGAAACACTCACGATTGTGCAAGTATGCTAATGTGTTTTTTATATGTTTAAAATGATATGTTTTAAAATGTAATGTTTTAACTAAATGTTCTATGTTGGAATGCAGTGTCTATTGTTGGCATTTTACAGGGTCTATGGTTGGAAACGGAGCTGTTTAGCTAATGCTGACACATTTACAGTAATGTTGATTAAGTTGATCTACTGTCCCTATTAAAAAAACACACACAATTAATAATTACATCTTAGACAATCAAAAAGAACACAGTGCTTACAGTAAACATTAAATATTAAAATGGTTGGTCGGTGGTGGGCGGAGAAACAATACACCTCGTCTCATCCCTGCTTGTTGTTTCTGTCACTACTTTCATAACACAACATATGCAAACGGTTTTTATTTCAACTGCATCTCAAAAACATATGGAGCCATCATATTATTCTCCTTATTTGTTTCTCCCACGCATCATTAAAAAGTAAAGATGAAAATATAAACTTTTACATCGTTGTGGTCAATAGGTCTCCCCCGTGTCCACATAACGATTGATGTATATGTTTCTAATGTGATTTCTGTGTTTTTCTAATTGCTCGCAGGCTTCACAGCAGCTCACCAGGGGTCCTCTGCGTGCCTCCACTTTTCACTGAAGTCATTTCTGTGCTCATTGTCTGCACAACAAAGAGACTTAGCCAATGATGCGGGAAACCTGTAATAACG